GGGATCTGAGGACACGTCCTGCAATGATGATGGGAGAGAAGCCCTCTTGGGCTGACGCGGGGGTGCAGCGGGAGGAGAGGGTCGGGATCTCCAGCACCAGCATTCCACATGGGACTGAACTCATCCTGATCCCACCCTTCTTCCCTCCCTCCCTCCCTGCCCTAGAGCACTCCAGGGGGTGTTTTGCCTCCCAAATCCTTCCATTTTCCCCCCGTTTTGGGGGGATTTAGCCCCAGCTTTTCCCGCTATTCCCTGTTTTCCTGCAGCGGCACCACCACCCGTCGCTTTGTGGGTCACACCAAGGATGTCCTGAGCGTCGCCTTCTCCTCGGACAACCGGCAGATCGTGTCAGGCTCCAGGGATAAGACCATCAAGCTCTGGAATACTCTGGGGGTCTGCAAGTACACGGTGCAGGTGAGCTCCCCCATTCCGGAAGGAAAAGCTTTGGGTCCCTTCCCCTCACTTAGGATTGGGAATGAGGAGGGGATGGAAAAGGCTGGGAAGAGCCGTGGTCTGATCCTGCAGCATGCCGTGGCTGCGGTGGGAAGGGCTGGTCCGTGTTCCCTTGCCATGATCCCAATCCCGTTTCCCAGGATGAGAGCCACTCGGAATGGGTGTCCTGCGTCCGCTTCTCGCCCAACAGCAGCAACCCCATCATCGTGTCCTGCGGCTGGGACAAGCTGGTCAAGGCGAGTTGGGATCCAGCGATCCTAGGCTGGAATTGTTCCCTAGTCCCAGATTCGAGGTGGCAGGAGCAGCTTTTCATCCCGTATTCCCTTTATCCAGGTCTGGAATTTGGCCAACTGTAAGCTGAAGACCAACCACATCGGGCACACGGGTTACCTGAACACGGTGACGGTGTCCCCTGATGGCTCCCTTTGTGCCTCCGGGGGAAAGGTACAGGCAAAGCTCCAGATCCCAGGATCCCACCCCTAGCCCTGGCTCATCCCAGCGCTTCCCAGCCCTTCCGTGTATCCCGCAGGATGGACAGGCTATGCTGTGGGACCTCAATGAGGGCAAACACCTCTACACGCTGGACGGGGGGGACATCATCAATGCCCTGTGCTTCAGCCCCAACCGCTACTGGCTCTGCGCTGCCACCGGGCCCAGCATCAAGATCTGGGTATGGCCTTGTTCCCATCCCGATGGAATTCCGTTGGGAACCCACCTCGTCCTCAGCCCCCGCCGGGCCGAGCTGTGATGAAACACTTGATGCCATCCGACTGCATCCATGTGGAAACCCAGAGGCTGTTTCTGAGCGTCCCGAGAGCCGGATTGGGAACCGGATCGGGAGCTCGCGGCCACGATCCTTCATTCCTTGTCCTTCTTCCCGCAGGATCTGGAAGGGAAAATCATCGTGGATGAGCTGAAGCAGGAGGTGATCAGCACCAGCAGCAAAGCGGAGCCGCCCCAGTGCACGTCCCTGGCCTGGTCTGCGGATGGGCAGGTAAAATCCATCCCTTTTTTCCTTATCCCTGCATCCCAGCCCCGGGAATGGGGATTGGGCAGGATCCTCCAACCGTGGGGACACTTGTGCTCTGCTCCAGGGGTCGTCCCTGCCAGCGGGAGCTTCCCTCATCCCTCCCTCCCTTCCCTTAAGGAAGGGCTCAAGGTCCCACCTTTCCGTCTGAGCCGTCTCTTCCTGCTTTTCCCTCTCTCCGCAGACGCTCTTTGCGGGATACACGGATAACCTGGT